CCCCAGACCTGAATCCAATTGAGCACATCTGGGACATCATGTCTCGCTCCATCCACCAACATCATTTTGCACCACAGACTGTCCAGGAGTTGGCAGATGCTTTAGTCCAGGTCTGGGAGGAGATCCCTCCACCACCTCATCAGGAGCATGCACAGGCGTTGTAGGGAGGTCATACAAGCACGTGGAGGCCACACACACACACACACACACACACACACACACACTACTGAGCCTCATTTTCACCTGTTTTAAGGACATTACATCAAAGTTGGATCAGCCTGTAGTGTGTTTTTCCAGCTTTGCAGCTTTTCTTAAACTCTACATAATATGTACATACCTGCAAAGCAAGGAACTCCTGTAAACATAAAGACAGAGACATTGATACAACAAGGAATCTGTAATGGTTCTGTTGCAGATGTGATCTACCAATGTACTCCTTGCTCTTTTGGTATAACTCTACCAATCAAAACGTTAAATGGCTCCATAGAATCAAACGACAAAGGATTCTTGCTATATTCTGGACTTCCAGGAATGTGGTGCATGGACCGAAAATTATAATTACTAAAGCAATCATGCTATTTTTTTTCCCTGTATCAGAAATGTGTCAGTGACAATGTGTAATATAATACAGATACTATAACTAATGGTATAAGAAACACATAATGTGTTAATTACAAAGGTGGATAGACTTTGTGAATATCTGAAACGTAATTGAAGATTATTGCTAAAATGCCATATGCAGCTGCAGTCTGGCCTACAAACAAATAAATTAGACATACATATAAGAGCATAGTAGCTGATTACCCAGATAAACAATTGAATCATAATAAGTTAAAGATCTTATGATTGCAATAACAACTGCAATAATGATTAACGTTTAAACTTTAGAAGAAAGTGTAAAATGTTTTTATTAAATCAGTAACTACTCGATATTCGTTTAAGTTTGCAGAGTGGTATAATTAATTAATATAAGTGAAATACTTCAACAGTTAAAATTTAACTGAAAGACAGGCAGAAACTTTACTTCAACTATCATAAAGTTTATTTATAATGATAAACCTATTCAGTCTGCCAGAGCTAAGGCCAGTCAATGGAAAGTAAACGAGTATTATGGATTAACCCGTCCAGGTGATATACATGATTATTTTGGAAATTGATAAGTTAGATCACCTATTGCAAACTGGTGAAAAGATGTCAAAGATATAAATTCAACATCCATACCACTCTATGTATATATATTAAAATACACGTAATCAAATATTTTATCGGTTTTTCAAATATCAAGAAAATTAAATTTGGTGTGTGATGATTAAAGGTACATATACTTTGTGGTAATGATCCTGCCTCATCTATTGATTGTTTAATCAATACATCATACATATGATTATTAATTCATATTCTGATTGTAACATACCCCCACTTCAAACAGTTATAGTTACAACAGATTCTGATATCTATTGTTATGGAAGTGTTAAAACCACTTATACAAAGGTAGAGCTAAAATATAAATACCTTCAATATTGTATCTGAGTGCTTTCTTAACTCACTTTTAGAAATAATAAAAATTCTAATCATCTTAAGCTACACCCAACAGCCGCTGGTAAATATACTTAAACAATTAAGATTCTCATTGTTAAGCATCCAATCTCACTTCAGTAACTTTCCACAATGGCTGTCAGATCTTGGTAAAAAAAAAAAAAAAAATGTAAAGTAAATTTTTGGGTGTTTCTGGTATTTTAAGCCACTAATAACTGTAGTTATTATATTTACTAATAATAACTAGGGAATAAGTTGTCTTCTCCCTAACAGGTCAAAGAAAGATAATTAATGTCATATTTCCAATTAGCAACTATTCTAAATAGATTGAGAGTTTTTTGAATAAAGGAGTATTTTTAACATTCAAAGAGAATGTAATTTTACATACCATTGTGAACAACGTCGGTAAATACTTTGCTGCTTCAAATTATCCTTATATCTCTAAATCATATACAAGGGTTTTTAGCTTTAAAACAAAACACTAGAAAAATTAACAATGTTACTATTTCATCTATCATTATTATACAAAGTATAACAAATGTAAAGATTTTTCCACAGATTTTACCTGTTAACATGTTTAGCACAACAGCACCTGATGTCAGTGAGATGTCTATCACTGAGATGTTTCAAAGATTCCAATACCGCAAAAAGAGGCATTCTTGAGAATCCACTTAGAATGCGGTATCAACATAACATTTAAGACAATGTCTTGGAAATGCTGTCAATTAATTTATTCCATAAAAGAACATCGGAGAGTATCCAATCTATACACATCCTAAACGGTGTACAAATGTTTCATGGAAAAAACAAAACAAAAAGCAAAGACAAAGACAAACACCAACACCACGGTGATAACAGATGATGCTGATTCAATATCTGCAACGAATTCTAGCCAAATATTTGGAAAGCTGGACTCCACAACCTATACTCTACAACACAACCTCCAGCAATGTATCTTAGGAATGTAAACTTCTACAGGCCTTTAAAGACTTTGGATTACAAATACAATTACTACTTTTAATTTTGGATTACAATCTGCATCCGGATCCATCCAAGAATATCTTACTCTGGAACTTGGTGTTCTTTTCAATTCTTTCCCAGACAAAAGCTTTGCTCATTTTAATCAACCACCTTTAAAGGCAAAGATCACACTACGGATATTTTACTGTTACAACAATGAACAAAGATGCTGGGAGCACAAAAAAAACTAAAGACTGTTGGAGAACTTTGGTCCACTAATTTAAGGAAGAAATGCGCTACAATGCCCACAGTTTAATGGAGAGGGTGTTATGGGCAAATGCAAATATTACAAGTTTTAGAATGAAATGTTGTATTTCTTAAACTGTGTACTTTGTCTTTAAAAGATATTGCAAACTGACAAGGTGTTAGAAATGGAACATATTGTTTTTCATAGAAGTTTCTTTAAGCAATAACCTCAATGCATAATATGTTTGCGCCATTTTGTCCCAGACGAATTACAATAACAATAATGCATAAACAAGCTTCAAGGCTATACTACGACTCTTTCAGTACACAATATACTGTGGTAACCCCAAGTTAATGGAACTTCCCCAAATCCGGGAATCTCCCACGACTGTGCACATACGACTTAGTATAAACAATAGATAAGCTATTCAGACTTTAAGATGCCATCTTGAACTAAGTCAGGAAAATTTCCATGACGTATACACCCTTTAGTTATGGCCTTGTATGTTTGTCAAATTAAAGGATGTCCTAAAATGAATAAAGTAAAAGAAGTGTTACTTTTTCATATTTGAACTACGGTAACCTTAAAATGGAGACACCTAAGGTATAAATAGGTGTACTTTTAAATATTAAGAAACAGAGGAGAGACTTGGAGACAGACGCTGCTCCATCTTAAAATGACAGAGAGGCTGACATGATGACATGTTCAGAAGGGTATGTTAACCTATTAATGATATTTGCAAGCATGTAATTTAATCGTATAAACTCTGCTATAATGGATTTTATATTTATATTTTTATATAATAAATATCCAAAAAGACAAAACTATTGCTCCCAAGACAATCCTTATTTTATATTGTATTCTCAATTATTTATATATGTTAAATAGAGGATCTCTTACACTATATAAAATTATGGCTAAGATATCTGTATGGTTAGCACTACTAAGTTCTATGCTTTAAGACATTATAGTGGTAAATAAGGGAACCACCCACGGTTACACATAGGTCATGTCAAACTAACCTAATTGCATTCTACGAAGAAGTAAGTAAAGGTATACATAGGACACAAGGTCACACATTTAGACAGGAAGAAAGGAGATTTCATCTAAGGCAAAGAAAAGGTTTTTTTACAGTAAGAGCAATAAAGATTTGGAATTCTCTGCCTGAAGAGGTGGTTTTATCAGAATCGATACAGATGATTAAACTGCAATTGGATAAAAACTTGCAAAAACATTACATACAGGGATATAATTTTTAATTAGTGGGGTAATAGCTACTTGATCCAAGGAGACATCTGACTGCTATTTTGGGGTCAAGAATGAATTATTTCCTAGTTTGTTGCAAAATTGGAAGTGCTTCAGACTAAGTTTTTTGCCTTCTTTTGGATCAACAGCAAAAACATTTGTGAGTAAGGCTGAACTTGGATGCAAGTCTCTTTTCAGCTATGTAACTATATATAGGAAATAAAATGTATGTATATAATATAAATTGAAAAAAAAAATTCTAAAAAAACAAATAAAAACTTTTGCCAGCGTTTGTTACCAAAAGTCACAAAAGACCGGACATACCCCATTTTGAATACCCTGGGTTGTTTACATTTGAAAATGGTATGCCATGATGAGGTCATTTCATATTCCTGGGCTACCATATGGTCTCAAAAGGCAACACAGACCCAGCAAACCAATCTGGCAAACCGAATTGGGCATGCTTTATATTGACCCTGTAACTTTCCAAAACACCATAAAACCTGTATATGGGGTAAAAGTAATAGCGAAGTTTTTGTGTAAAAAAAAAAAATGCAAAAAACAAACATGAACGCTAACTTTGGCAAGCGTTTGTGGCTAAGTGGCTACTACAAAAGACTTTAATACCCTGGGTTGTTTACTTTTACAAATGGTATGCCATGATGGGGTTAATATTTCATTCCTGGGCTGCTATACCGTCCCAAAGGCAACATAGGCCTAGCAAACCAATCTGGCAAATTTCAAAGTGCAAACATGGAAAAGGGGGAAAGTCCTACATTTGACCCCTGTAAATTTTAAAAAATCCAAAAAAACCTGAACATTGGGGGCCCTGTTGTACTCGGGAGATGTTACTGAACACATATTGGGGTGTTCTTTGTCAGTAACACATAACAGGAATTGAGAATCCATGTATAAGGTACAATGTGTGATAAAAATAACACAAAAAAATGACTACCCAAAAGTTTGACAAAGACTGGTGGTAGAATTAGCCATAGGCGTGCACTCTAAAGCACAAACACACATGCCGCGTGTGTGTGTATATATATGTGTATATATATATATATATATATATATATATATATATATATATATATATATATATATACACACACACACTGCTGTGTGAGGGTGCTGTGTGTGTGTGTGGGGGGGTGCTGGTAGTGTGTGTGAATTTGTTTGGAGTGATTGTGTGTGGTGGTGGAGGGGACAGATTAGGAAATAGCCCCCTCCCTTCTTACCTTTTGCCTGGGAGGGGGGATCCTTGCTGCCATCCCTGGTGGTCCTAGTGTGAGTGAACTCTCGCAAGATCTGAGCGTTGCCGTGGCAACACTCCGACCTCGCGAGAGTCCGGTGGAGCTGCTGGCTAGAGCTCCCCGGGTCCTCTCCTGTCTGGAGGCACACAGCAGGGCCGGCGCTCGGATAGCGCCGGCTCTGCATGGACTGACAGGGGAGATCCTGTGATCTTCCCTGCCGGCCTCGATCCATGCGTGGGCCGCGGGGGTTATTGTGTGACCAGGCACACCCCATGCATACACCTATGGAATTAGCGCATGGAAAGTGTTAAAATACTACCATTGACCAGCTGTAAAAATTTCAAGTTGGTAAACTGGAATGCACACCCTCCAAATAAGGTCTTTTAGCTCCCAGAGAACCCGACACACCTATACATGGGTGGTATCACTGTACCCAGGAGATGTTGCTGAACACATATTGGGGTGTTCTTTGGCAGTAACCTTTAAAGTTCTCTGTACATGTATTCTTAAATTGCTACGTGTGTCAAAAAAAAAAAAAAAAAATCACCAATAATTTTTTTAATTGGTATAGATTGGTGGTAAAATGGTTGAATTAAAATACCCCAGGCTTAATACCTTAGGTTGTCTTCTTTTAAAAAAATATATACATGCGAAAGGTTATTCAGGGATTCCTGACAGATATCAGTGTTACAATAGACAAATAGATTAAGACCACCCAAGTGCAGTTATACACAATAAAAAAAAAAGGAATTACTTCTCTTTCATAGGTTGTAACAAAGGATTCCTCTCAATCCTCGTGGATAAATATAGACATAAGATACACCTAAATATGAACAGAGAAAAGAAAAAAAGACTCATAGGGAAATAACATATGGCAAAAAATGGCCCCTTATATCAACATTGCACTCTCAGACTGAATTAATTTATCAGGCCCATCAGTGTTGCTTTAAATTTTCAGAAATTCACCATCTCTCAGATCTCAGTATCCATGGATGCATGAAAAAGATATACAAATGGACCTAGTATAGCACTGATAGTATAAATCACACACTTTATTCAGGAACACTGACGATATACACGGAGTAAAAAAGCCCATCAATTTGTCTCTGCGTTTCCTCTGTCCAGGTAGTGTGTGGTAGAGGTTGGGCACAAGAGTATCCGGCAAAGATATATATTAAAATAAGTAAAAATAAAATAAGCTCTACGCGTTTCGTCTACTATGTGTAGACTTCCTCAGGAGCAATAAAATTAAATGGTACACAAGTAAAATCAAATAGTAAACAAATAAATTGCTGTAGCATGTCCAGAGCCGAAGCTCTATTTAAAAGTCCCTCCTATTGTTGCTAGAGTCCACTCAGCCAATCCGTGGTCTTTGAATCACTTGCCTTCACTTCGTCGTCTATTTTCTTCCCTTATAAGAACTTCCGCCGGACGTCGTCCATCTCTATCTTAAAAGTTGTCGACGTCATTTTCGTGCGGCTGGAAAGCATATGCGTTCCACTTCGTTCTTCATTTTCATCAAATAGTCCTTGCAATCAATCCTCATTGGGTCATTACATATAAAATAACAGCGTGCAAACAAAGATAGGTTAATATTAAATTGCCTTACTGTTATATAGTTGGTCAAACAAAGACACATACAATAGGGTATTCAATAAAGCGATATATCCAATAGGATAAATGCAAATAGATTTTTAACCAACATAGTTGGAATTTCCAAAGTCCAAGTGTATCAAAGTGTGTTATCAAAGGAAAGTATTCTGGAGGCAACAAACCAAAAATATAAAAATAAAAGTGAAAATAGAATAGAAAAAATAAATAAAAAAATAAACAAAAAAATTAAAACACTCAAAAATTATAAAAGACAAATTAGGTCAAAATCAACCCTAATGGTTGAAGTGTTTTAAGTTTGTGTATCCAGAATCCCTCCCTTTGTCTTAGCTTACCTCCCCTCACATCAAGTGAAACTTGATCAGTAATGATCCATGAGCAACTCTGAACTTTGAAGTGAGGGCATTTGTTGCAATGCACAGGAACAGAATGACCCTGCATGCCCTTCCTAATATTTAAATGTTCCAAAAAATGAGTTTTGGCCTTCCTCCCCATCCTTCCCACATACTGTGCACCACATCCACATGTGAGGAAGTACACTACATGTGGGGAAGAACAGGTAACGCCTCTGTGAATTTTGACTCTCTCACCCGTGATAGAACTAGAAAAGGAGTGCACGTATGACGGTTTACCTCTACATGCCTTATATAATCCACAAGTATGGAATCCCTTCTTCATGTTCATTTTATCTTCTGCTTTTTTGTCACGAAAAAAGCTAGGTGTAAGGTAAGTTGAAAGGTTCCTTCCCTTCCCTTCCCTTCCCTTCCCTTCCTATAGATGACCCTAGGGTTATCTGTAAGTTTACAGCCCAGATATTCATCATGTTGGAGTATGGTCCAATGTTTCTTAAATATTTTATCAATGGCAAAGGCCTTCCAGTTATATTGGGTGTTGGAACTGGTGATGAATCTGTCTGTAGGTGTTTGTTATATCCTTTCTCTAAGAATTTGTTGGTCATAAATCCTGCCTGTTCCACATCTATGGTTTGGTCAGAGCAATTCCGTCTAAGTCAGGTATATTGGCTCTTTGGAACTCCTGCAAGCCATCTGGGGTGGTGTCCACTATTGGACTTGATAAAGCTGTTCATGTCAGTGGGCTTAAAGTAAGTTTTTGTTATTATTTGACAGTCCTTGACAAAAATGGTCAAGTCCAAGAAATCAATAGAGATCGGACTATAGCCCGGTGTGAACACTAAAGAAAATGTGTTATTTAAATACTGAAAGAAGTTTTGTAGTTGTTCCTCAGACCCCTTCCAAATGACAAGGATGTTGTCAATATAACAACGCCAGAACACCAGGCTTGCCCCATATGGATTACTGTCCCAAATAAATGTACGTTCCCAGTAATCCATAAATATGTTGGCATAACTAAGGGCAAACCTGGTGCCCATTGCCGTGCCCTTGACCTGCAGGAAGAACTCATCATTGAACATAAAAAAAATTATGAGTCAATATAGATTCAATTGCCTCCAATAGGAACGATCCAAAACCTTTATCCAAAGTAGTGTCTTTATCTACACTGCTCAAAAAAATAAAGGGAACATTTAAACAACACAATGTAACTCCAAGTCAATCACACTTCTGTGAAATCAGACTGTCCACTTAGGAAGCAACACTGATCAATTTCACATGCGGATAGACAACAGGTGGAAATTATGGGCAATTAGCAAGACACCCCCAATAAAGGAGTGGTTCAGCAGGTGGTGACCACAGACCACTTCGCAGTTCCTATGCTTCCTGGCTGATGTTTTGGTCACTCTAGTTGTAGCATGAGACAGAGTCTACAACCCACACAAGTGGCTCAGGTAGTGTATCTTATCCAGGATGGCACATCAATGCGAGCTGTGGCAAGAAGGTTTGCTGTGTCTGTCAGCATACTGTCCAGAGCATGGAGGCGCTACCAGGAGACAAGCCAGTACATCAGAAGTGGAGGCGGCCGTAGGAGGGCACCAACCCAGCAGCAGGACCGCTACCTTTGCACAAGGAGGAACAGGAGGAGCACTGCCAGAGCCCTGCAAAATGACCTCCAGCAGGCCACAAATGTGCATATGTCTGCTCAAACGGTCAGAAACAGACTCCATGAGGGTGCTATGAGGGCCCGACATCCACAAGTGGGGGTTGTATCTACAGCCCAACACCGTGCAGGACGTTTAGCATTTGCCAGAGAACACCAAGATTGGCAAATTTACCACTTTACTCTTCACAGATGAAAGCAGGTTCACACTGAGCATGTGACAGACGTGAGAGTCTGGAGACGCCGTGGTGAACGTTCTTCTGCCTGCAACATCCTCCAGCATGACCGGGTTGGCAGTGGATCAGTAATGGGGTGGGGTGGCTGCACAGCCCTCCATGTGCTCGCCAGAGGTAGCCTGACTGCCATTAGGTACCGAGATGAGATCCTCAGACCCCTTGTGAGATATGCTGGTGCTGTTGGCCCTGGGTACCACCTAATGTAAGACAATGCTAGACCTCATGTGGCTGGAGTGTTTCAGCAGTTCCTGCAAGACAAAGGCAGTGATGCTATGGACTGACCCGCCTGTTCCCCAGACCTGAATCCAATTGAGCACATCTGGGACATCATGTCTCGCTCCATCCACCAACATCATTTTGCACCACAGACTGTCCAGGAGTTGGCAGATGCTTTAGTCCAGGTCTGGGAGGAGATCCCTCCACCACCTCATCAGGAGCATGCACAGGCGTTGTAGGGAGGTCATACAAGCACGTGGAGGCCACACACACACACACACACACACACTACTGAGCCTCATTTTCACCTGTTTTAAGGACATTACATCAAAGTTGGATCAGCCTGTAGTGTGTTTTTCCACTTTAATTTTGAGTGTGACTTCAAATCCAGACGTCCATCCATGGGTTGAAAAATATCATTTCCATTTTTTAATTTGTGTGATTGTGTTGTCAGTACATTTAACTATGTAAAGAAAGTATTTCAGAAGAATATTTAATTCATTCAGATCTAGGATGTGTTATTTTTGGGTTCCTTTTAATTTTTTGAGCAGTGTACACACACACACACACACATATATATATATACATACACATATATACATACATACACACTATATAATTTCATTCAATCTGCCATTGTGGTAAAAAGATTATTAGTGCCCTTCCAGAGTTTGGACCCTGGACCCACCTGTCCTCCCAAACTGCTAAGTAGGTGGGTGTCAGAACGACTATGTAAATTTGTCTGTGTGTGCACGAATCTGTGTACTGTATGTTTAAATTTGTGTGCATCTATTAGTTTT